ACGTCATCAAGATATATTTAAATATAACATTCTATATATATATATATATATATATATATATATATATATATATATATATATATATATATATATATATATATATGTGTGTGTGTGTGTGTGTGTGTGTGTATGCGAGGAACCTCTATATATCACCCACTATTTATTATATATACTGCATAATATTTCAATTAAAAAGTACAGTGATATTTACTTTTAAAGTCTTTAGTTAAAATCTATTAGCTAGTACGTCTTATTGCATGTAATAGTGCAGATTTACTTTTACAGCCAGCAAGTACAGAGCTAAGTAGCACACTGTCTACTTCCTCACTAAAACTTCTAAGTTCAATTCAACTTTTATTTAACTGTCATTCCCCCCCCCCCCCCTCCGCCCCTCTTTCTGACCACCCATTAGGACACGTGATTAATTTCCTGGTGATGACTGTAATAAAATGACTCGTCCACTTCTCGCTACTCACCACCAATGTGTTTCTATTGGTTACTGACTCATGATTCGTGACGTCACCTCATCGTGTTTGCCCGTGTGTATGGTTTGGTTTCGAAGCTTGGAAGGTTAACTTTCTGGTTAGGTTAAAGGTTAAGTTTCTGGTCAGGTTAAGGGTTAAGGGTTAAGGAATGGTATGAATAGTTAAACAGTTTAGTCATATAATTTATAGTACTGGTAGATAGACTTTTATGTAAGTCTACAGGTTAAGCGTTCAATTATGAACTTTTTCTAGGGTCCCGACAGTGTTTGGGACAGCGTGGTCGAGCACTAGAGCGCTCGACTACTAACCAGAAATCTAGTTCGGATCTTGGATTCGCCTCCAATGAGTACTTGACAACTGGTAGAGAAAGTAGAGTCAGCTTACAATAGTATTGATCACACTATATCTACACTATTTGACATGATTACCAAAACAGACGAACTCTTCTTCCTCTGCCTTATTGACCGTCAGATGGTAATTTTTTACCAACTTTCCTTGTAAGACTGTGTTTACTAATTTAGCGTCACCCTCCATAGCGACGCTGCTTCAAGCAGAACCCGTCAACTCAGCAATGTTAATGTGTTTCCGGCTGAATAAGAAATCACCGAGCTAATGCGAAGAGACAAAGGAAAACCCTTTGACATTAACAAGACGTCTTTAAGATTCCATAAGACTGCCAGCAGCATAAGGAAAGCACTGGGTCGTGCAATCACAGTGCCACTTGCCGCGCGTTTTTATCTCCCCTTTGGGAGGAGTGAGAAAAAAAAATAATGCATCGTTTTTGACAAGACCACACCGGAGTATTTACACTGGTTGGGACCCCGGTTAAGATTAAGTCAGCGCTGGTTACGGCCTGGGGAGACTTTTTACACCTGGCTTATCAAAAAACGTCATGCCGCACGACAGCCGGCCCACAACACACGAAATAAACAATGAACGCGAAGGCAAATAAATAACTTTTGGGGGTTGCCAGATAAAAAAATTTTCCATGCAGACCAAAATGTCGGTTCGCATTTTGTGCGTGTCAGTTTGAGTTAACTGGTATTTTAATCATTTAGTAATGGAGTGTAATACCCGGGGAGTCAGAAGGCTAGGAATTTTGACATTAGCATAAATGCGTGCATATCCGACTCTTCGACTGTTGTTATTAGGGGGCAGATGAATGCACCGGTGCATTAAAGCATACGGCAGTGTACAGCCGATGTAAAAACAGAGTCGTATTATTACGTTATTAAATCAGCAGAGCCGGTTCCTCGTGTTTAATGCCATGTAAACTTGCCATTTAGTTGGAATAATTGTCAGGTTCATTTGCCGATGCATGTTGCGTACACAAGGCAGGTGTTGATAGAAACGACACGTTCTCGTTCTATGGTTGACGTCACATGTGTTACACAAATGGGGCGGGCGGAAGGGGGATGTTGCTAGTTTTTTTTATGTGAATGGAATACAGCCAAATATAACATGCTAAATTAATGAATAAAAACGTTATCATAAAATGTGGGTACTTATACCCACCTGTGTCAGGCATATTTATCCAAACAATAACCAAACCCTAATCCTATGTCAGTTATAATGTAAGGCATATTTATCCAAACAATAACCAAACCCTAATCTATTTATACATTACTTTTGTTTAAAGTTTTTTTACCCACACTTCCTCAAAAAAAGATAATTTAGAATTTTCGTATGTAAACGTAAACGTTTGCTCCTTTCAACATAAAAGCGTACAAAAATAACTCTAACATTTGACAATTTTGATATGCTGGATGGGAAGCACTGAATTTTCATCAACACCAATCTAGTCATCATAATCTAGTCACACCACAATGTGGATATTTTGTTACTCTAGGCAGCAATTTATCAAAGTAATATTGTCTTTTGTGGCTCATATACTATTGATATTAAAATGTACACATGAATGGAATTGCTGTAACTTTAGCCATTTTTTTTTTTAAATTTGGGGTCTCAACTAATGACCGTTTTTAATGTATCTTTCAAAAAAAAAAAGGTAGAATGTTCTGTAAATTTTATTTTTGAGAACTGAAATAAAATGTAAAATATATTTATTAACTTCGCATCATGTGTGAAGAACAGATGTCCGAAAAAGGTAATTTACAAGTATGGTCAGTCTAGTTACCAAAAACAGTGCCATCTACACATCTTTTTACTTGATAGAAAGTTTATTCAAGGTGAACTCAGTGAACTGATTAAGTCTCCCTATAAGTAAAGAGCAATTAAACGTTCCTAATCCATTCTAAATATAGCGATTGGAGTATTCTGAGAACGCGCGGACATCTTGTAGACAAAGGTCCTCCCATGTACATGTGAGAACTTGAAACAACTGGTTTAGCACCATACACACTCTAGTGATCTCTCCCTTTAAAGGGTAGAGCTAATATTCTAATTCAGCCAAACATTCGGTTCCGTGTGTGCCCAGAGACCATTCGGTATTTTAGTCTGGTTTAACATAGAAATGATTTATTTAAACCCAAAAGTTTCTCGTTTGCATGCTGTCTGATCAATACGAGTCCAGCTTAGAAAATAGGTCAAATGGAATAATTTTAAATAATTTTTTTTTTTAAGTAAGAAGAAATGTTGCTACGTGGTTTTCGGGTGAGAAAGTAACTCGCTAACATTTCGGTAAGTAGAAAATGAAATAATGTCCAGCCATTATGTTGTTGAGCGAAATCTTCTTGTCTGCGGCAGATGTGAGTCACCGCGAGTGATCCACGGAATGGCTAATTTAGTTGTCACTCCAGTCACGTGACCGCGCTCAAATCGTCTGCAAGGCACGCCAAAGGACGGTATTTATCCAGCGCCTTAGGCTAAATAAGAATGAGATCGCAGGCTTCACAGTTCCTTCATGTTTCAAATGTTAAACCCAACTTAGCTGGGTTCATAGCTTCTGCGTGCTTCAACTGTAAACCCGACCTCGCGGGAAGGAATAGTTCATCCCCATTGAACAAATATGATGTCATTGTTGAAATAAAATAAAATCACGGCCATGACTTAAGTAGGGAAGCCATTCTTCTAATGAGGGCCGAGCCCTCCCCCCCCCCCCCCCCCCCCAGCTGAAACATGTTTATTTAAAATCGGCACGCAACTATTGCGACATCTGGCCATCATCCTGCTTTGTGTCCCGATCTTTTTTTTCTTTTGCCTAATTTGTTTACATGGGAAAATCCCCTGCCTCCCCCACCTCCAATTTCTACATTTTTTCTTGTTTCCTCAATACCACCCCCCTCCCTCTTTCATCTTCAACCCCACCCCTCCCTCTTTTATCGTCAACCCCACCCCTTTAGACAAATGATGAGGACAGTTGGGTTCTATATGTTGTTGTAAAGAACAGATAAATAATACAGTCCGCAGAGGGAGAAAAATCTGGACATTTGTCTTCTTGGATAAAAGGCTACAGAAATTAGTACATACAAATCAAAACGTCTGTAATTCCATAGGGAAAAGATGGGCTGCACGCAATATGTCAAGCACTTTAAAAGGCTGGGGGGGGGGGGGGGGGTACAGTCGCTTTGCGCCGTTGGAAGATGTGATTTGATGATGTTAAAGTAAATCAAAATTTAAATAAAACAGAGATTTGACGATATATATATATATATATATATATATATATATATATATATATATATATATATATATATATATATATATATATATATATATATATATATATATATATATATAATTTACTAATTATTAAAGTTCTTGCATCGTTGCTTAAAATATATTTGGGATATGACGAGGACAAAATGCAGCTTTAAAATGTCACAATAAAAAGTATTTGACGTATTGTTTTTTAAGCAAAAAAACACAATCAAATGTATGAAATTTATAACTTCACATGCATCTTCAACATAAGATAAAGAGTTAAGTATTGTTTAAAATTATGTTGGATGTTCAATATCTGACTGGAAGTGGCAGATAGCCTTTATGTGTCTTTATTTTTAAATATGCAATAATACAGCATGCATTCACGCATATTATATATATATATATATATATATATATATATATATATATATATATATATATATATATATATATATATATATGTATATATATACAGGCACCATATTATATATACATATATATATATATTTATATATATAGGCCTACATACATGCATAGAAATAAATAGGCTTATATTTAGGAAAAATTCTTGATTGCCTACATTATAGCACAAATAATGATTAAGTTCGTTCCAACCTACTGCAATAAACAACGTACTTTAATTATGACTGTTGTTTAATTTTATTTTTAAAAGGAACGAACAAAGCAATGCGTAAAAAATTCTCTACACTTTTTACATTTTTGAAAATAGCTGGATCTATTATTCACTGTATTTAGATTAGCAGTAGACTAGTAGCGCGGTAAAAGTAGCTCAACTTATTACATTAAATTAAAATCTATAATCTATATCTACTTACAATCTGGCAACAAGTCAGGGGAAAGTACTACAAAAATGTCGAGATCAAATTGGGTTTCTTAATTACGTCCCCTAGCCGCAAGAAAATCTCGTTATCCGTACATAACATATTGGTAGTAAATTTTAGTAAATTCTAGATTCTAGATCTAACTTTACTGTTACTCTTAACATTTTGCCATCTAGAATCTATCTAGATCTAGATCTAAGTCTAGATATGTAACAATAATTAGATCTATATTGTGAGTGCTAAATTTAGATAACATTACAAGTTAAAAGTCAAAGTAAAACTAAAATTAAAAACGCTTTACAACGCATAGTCGTCTGCTAACTTAGACTTAAACGGTAAACCTTACTTTGATTTTTGATTATTAAAAAAAAAAAATAACTTAAGTTTATCTATCTAACGAGATTCTAGATTTAGTCTAGATTCATTTAGATCTAGATTCTAGATCTAGTAATCTAGATTATATTGCCTAGATCTAGAATCTAGATTCTCCAGGATTTTTTTTTTAGTTTTAGCAAGATCTAGTACTAGTAGAGTCCGCTCTTAGAGCCCAATAGACTACACTGTAGTCACTACAGACTAGATCTAGATTCTACAGCCTATATACACAATTGACACAGTCTAGATCTACACATTAATAATATAATTATAGATCTAATCTACATTTTACTTCTTTTTTTTGTATTTTCCTGAGATCATAGGTGCCGCTAAAGGTATTCTGAATAGTACTATTCAACATGAATGAAATTATAATCAAACCAGTCAAACATCCACCAGTAATCAAGCAAAATTCATTTTTGTCAGCTGAAGCTCAAACCACTTTAGAGCTATTGGAAAAGAAGTATAGTTTCCTCATAAATGAGCAGAAAAAATTGAAGATGGGTATATACATAAGTTTAATGTTCCAATCAGTTTATTAAGCCTTAATTTAAGCAAATGTCTTAGAATACATATTGTCATTAGGCCTAGACCTCTTAAAAATGATAGTCCTATGCTGTTTTGATATCATGTTAAATATATTTAAATTAGGCCCTTATATATTCTTGTTTATTTAATGTTATTCGGCAGGATTACATTTACTGCTATATTTAAAGAGTAAAACATGTTTTTGAAGTAATTGCTTTTTTAGAAATTAAAAAAAAATTAAGTTGTATCTTGTATTTGAACAGATCCATCCCACTATTACAAGTCCATATATGCAGCAACTTTCAAGAAAAGAGATTCTAACCCTGTTAGTCTGCAGGCTAATACCAGGCATTCAACTAGTCATACAGTCACACCTGATGCTTCACAACTTACTGAAACAATCACAAAATCCCATAAGACGATTGATACCAACTTTACAAAATCTGCATTTACCACTTCAAATGTACCCTGCAGTGGAAAAAGTAAGGTTAGAAACCACATCAATGTTCCTGTCCTGTTGACTGAAGTACTGTCTGACATTAGACCAACCGATGAAGAGATAGCGCAAGACATTTTTAAGTTAACTCAAAATACAAGAGTAAATAGTCCTAGCATGGACACAGAAATATTTCTGCATAACTCAGTAGAAACAGATTACAACCCAAAGAGGCATGATTTTAACTCACTTGATAGTCTTGTAAATGGGAACAACAGTTTTGAAGTAACTTTTATGCAACAATTAAATGAAAATTTAAAACGAAACTTCAATTCTAAAAATAAAGAAAATGAATCCAATATAGCAAGATGTTTTGTACCTGAGGAATCAAATGAATGTCACTCAACACCAAACCAAGACATGTTTAACTCAGTGAAAAAAAGAGGCCATGACCTAGCTGTTTTCAACAATGAATCGCCTCTTCTCTTCTCATCTAGCAACCAAGAATCTGAGCACATTCAAATTACTAATGAAGGAAAAGTAAATTGCAAAAAACAGGTATTTTTAATAAATGCAAGCAAAGATAATGATATGGCTGTGAGTTCACCAGAAAAGGCTAATTTTGATTTACAACTTTCTGATATTGAATTTTCACAAAACTCTTGTCATACACTGGAAATGGATGACAAAAGTTTTGGAGACAATAAAGTTAACACTCCTGAGTCTATTAATCATACCAGTAAACTCAACATTCAAGAGCCAATTTTCCAAGACAATAAAGTTAACACTCCAGGATCAATTTTTCTTACCAGTAAACTCAACATTCAAGAGCCAATTTTCCAAGACAATAAAATTAACACTGGAGAGTCAACTTTTCCTACCAGTAAAGTTAACCTTCCAGAGAAAAGTACTCCATCTATCAAGGCTAACAATCTTGAGTCACCAATTTCCTCCTGCAACTCAGAAAATAAAATCTTCTTCAACAACATGGATGAGAGTGAGTCACCATTTATTGAGGATCCTAAAGATGTACCAAATGTCTTCACATGTAAGAGAAAAAGGTAACAGCTTTTGAGAAATAATAGCACCACTGATGCCAATTTTAAATGGTTAAAAGAATTTTTTCTTCATCTTCCAATCAGTTGGAAGCAGGGAATTAAGATAAATAGCTAATGGGCGATAATACTCTTGGAATCATAAAACTTCATTATATTTTCTATTTATAGCTTCATTAATTGTTATGGTTTTGTTTTAATATTCTTTTAGGAAAACACTTCAAAAAGCCAAACAGGAAGAACAGCATTGCGATGGTATAAACATTTTTCAGTTTCTCAACTAGCTACATTTTTACTGATAAAAAAAAAACAATAGTAAATTTAATTTTAATTAATATTAATTTTTTCTTTAAACAAGGCTCTTCAAAAGAAGTTTCTAGATTAGACCTGAAACAATCATCTGCTTCAACATTAAAGAAAATAAAATCAGGATTTAAGCCACCAATTAAAGTCAAGACAGTGGTAAAATTTATACCTATGTAATTGTTTTATTATATTTATCTCCCCCTTTCTTGAATGAAGATCTTACACTCATGAATCTACTCCAGAATATATCTGTATCACTCTGAATATTACTACACATAAAAAATTTTCAGGAAGGTCCTAAAACGAATGAGAAATCAACTTTAGAAGTACTGAATTTCTCAAGCTGGAGCATTCAACAGCAAGAAGAATTTCTGGAAAGTTTATTATCTTCTCAGTGCTTAACTCTAACTATGCTATTCAGCAATGGTCAGGCTTTGGTGAATACATTCTATTCGGCTGCCGATCACTCTAAGGTATGCTTTATGTTTTGAAGAAAAGCCCTTAAGAATTAATATGTTTATTGTTAATAGTTTATTAACATAATATCTTAAGTTTTATTAGTTAAGACTAAAATCTTAGAAATAATTATAGTTTATTCTATTTGTTTTAATATTCAGCGCCTCCGTTTACATTTTTTGTTTTGTTTTTGTTTTAGAAGAAAACACTCTGTCAGGTTGGTTTATTTTTGTCTTTAAATTATAATCTCTCATTTGTTCACTTTTTTTTTAACTTACTAATAAATAAATGTTTTTTTTTTTTAGATAAATAAAACCTCATTACTAAAATGTATTATCGTGTAAACAAATTACAGTTTTATAAAAACTTGTAAGATTTTTTTTCAATATCTTTTATTGTACGACATAATTGAAACATGATAATTTTAGTACATCTTAATGTTTATTTATTTTTCAGCCACATTTAAAAAGTATTGTGATTATGACAGAAGTTTCACAACTGCAATGTGTTGCTATACCCATGAATGTCAACCTTGATGAAAATATCAAGTAATTTTGTTTTTTTTTAGTATTAAATGTAATTATCGTTTTTTCAAATATCCTAAATATAACAAAAAAACTTTTTTTTATAGAAATATTTTGCTACAAGTAATGGCCTCAGAAAAAATATGCAAAACAATCTGCAACTTTAAAGAATTTATAGTGGAACTAAATTCACTGTTTTCACTTGATGGTAATCTTTTTATTTATCAACAATCTATTTCTTCTTGTCTTTAGCCAGTGATCAATTTTATCATTTAAGATTTATTTTAGCTGGTTTTTGTGTATTATTTGTATTGTATAATTTTTTAACTTTGGAAACTTAATGTTTAAAATATTTCTTAATTATAGCTTATGACTGTGCAAATGTTGAAGATCCAGTTATAGCATCCTGGGTTGTGCATTCTGAAAATCAGCCTCTGAGTTTTTCACAAATTTGCAGAACTTCTAATTTTGAGTTTGTGTATGTAAGTACTAATATCTGATTTTTCTATCATTAAACAACATGATACATAGTTAATTTTTTCAAATGACGAGATCTGCATACTAATGTTATTTATTATTTTATGTAACTTTACAGAATGAAAGGGAATGGCTTCCATGTTTTCAGTTTACACCAAATTTAATGAAGGCTTTAAGGGTTAAGCTCAAGAAAGATAACTTATGGACATTATTCAAAAGTATTGAAATGAAGTTAGTTCCCATTTTATCCTGCATGGAATTGAATTCCATCAAAGTTGATACTGAGAAATTGGTTGGTTTTTCTGAAATATTAAAGGTAAAGTAAAGCATTTTATTTTATTTTCACTCTAAAAGCTAAATTTTTTACAGAATACCATTGATGACTTTAAGCTGTTTCATTATCACATAAGTTATTAATTGCCCTGGAAATTCAGAAATGTCATACTGTTTTGTTAATATTACATAGTGCAAGTTGAACAGGTTAGAAGAAGCAATATACACAGAAGCTGGACATAGGTTTTGTCTGAATAGCCATGTTCAGTTACGACAAGTAAGTAGTAAGTAATCTAATAAATTTAAACAATGCCACTGCCTATACTTTTCTTGTTAACATTCAGTTAAAGTTGGACAAATTTAGATAGTGAAAAAAGCTATTGCTAAAGCATTATAATAATTCTTATAACCCTTTTATTTTTAAATTTGAATTAGGTTTTGTTTGAAGAACTTCAGCTTGATAAAAAACTTCCAACAGATAAGAAAATTATAAAGACCAGTTCATTTCAATTGAAATCTACCTGTGAATCTAGTCTTACTGTGTTGGCTAACTACCATCATTTACCATCTCTAGTATTAGAATACAGACAGGTAAGTGTCAAATATTTTTTTAAAACTTGTTGCAATGCGTCTTTAATACAATTTTCAACTCAAAGATCTGAATTCAAATTTGTGTGAGAGTGTGTTGTATTTTGTTTTATTCAGAAAAGCAAATAAACTGAAAGTGAAAAAAATATGAGAACAAAAAACAGTTTTAACATCTGGATTATTTAATCATCTTCACTAGCAGTAGTATCTTTGACCTGTGCAATGTTTTATGCCATCTTCAACAATATCAGAACTCTCTTTTGTTAAAAAATAAATAAAAATCAAAGAATGATAATTTTTAGAGATCCTATTCTAGGTATACATTTTCATGATTATTGTCAGTTTTGAATGCTTGTATTGTATCTCCAGGTGTTAAGAAATGTTCAATAACAAGACTATCTAAACAAAGTATATTTTTATGTTTATTTATTCCCCAAGCTTCAGAAACTGAAATCCACATATGTTGATGGCATTATAGCTTGTGCTGTTAATGGCCTGGTCAAGACACACTGGGATCAGACAGCTGCTGCTACAGGTCGGCTTACCTCATCACAACCTAATTTCCAAGCTATTCCTAAAAATGTTATTTCCATCAGTGACTACAAACCTAATTACATAATAGGTAAAACTAAAGTTTCATAACACAGGATAATTATTGATGGATTTTTGTTTAAACAGTGAGTAAAATATGTCTTAGTTTCAGAGCCATTGATTTTTAATTGTAGTATGCAAAGATTAAGTTACATTTTTTAATATACATTTAAAGGATTAAAATCTTCACAAAATGCTGTAATATATGCCAGAGAACCTTTCATAAGCAAGCCTGAACATTCATTTTTAGCAGCAGGTGAATCTAATCTTTTAAATTTGTATTTAAGTAACTAAAAAGATTTTTAATACCGAATGAAACTTCTGTGTTTATTTCAAAATGTGCTTTCTTATTATAGATTTCCAACAAATTGAACTAAGGATTCTATCACACCTTTCCCAAGATCCCATCCTTTTAAACATTTTTAGCCAACAGAAAACAACTGACATATTTATCTCCCTTACATCACAATGGTAACTTTGTTGATTTAGTTTCTACTTAGAGTCAAGCTTGAATGTTTTCTGTAGTTATTTATTTTTAAGATATTGTTTCAATCATTTTGTTTAGATATCTACCCTTAAATTTATAATATAAAGTTATAATATAAATTATTTTATATAATTTATTTTGTCATTTTTTAAAAAGTGTAATCTTAATATGTGTCTATAATCATATATAGTCAACCTATGTAAAAATTGGGATTTCCTTTTAGGCACAACAAACCTCCAGAATCTGTTACTTCTCAAGAGAGGGAAAGTACCAAAAGAATTGTTTATTCCATTGTATATGGAGCGGGTAACTCAATAGTTATTCCAACAGTTATTAAAGATTAAGATCAGTACATTCAATAGTTATTAACTTCACAGTGAATTAATTTTATGCACTTATATTCTGATTTATTAATGTACACAGGAAAAGAGAAGTTGTCTGATTACTTAAAAGTAAAGCCGCAAGTAGCAAAAGATATAATGAATAGTTTCCTATGTGAGTACTTAACCTGCATTTGATTACAATTTTATTTTCCACTCATACTAAGCAGACCAAAATTTAAATAAACAAAAAAAAATTATATGATAGCCACTGATCTTTATTCAGTTTCAAAATCATAAATTTTTCCACAAATAATTTATTTTATTACAATAAAAATGACTTCGTATTAAACTTATGTTTATGCAGCTATGGCTGTGATATTTTCAAAATGTAAAGCAACAATTTATACTGTGAAAATGGCAGTACATTTTTTTAAAATGCATCATCATAAAAAAAACTAGCAAAAGTATTTTTTAGTGCAGCTACAATAAGAAGAGATTTTTGTAATAAACATTTCTATTTCATTTCAGTACAGTTTCCTTCAATAGACATCTTCATAAAAAAGTGCTGGTCTTATGCACAAGATCACGGCTACACAGAGACAGTGTGTGGCAGGAGGAGATACTTCCCCCACATCAACCACCCATCTCCAGTTCTCAGGGCACAGGCTCAAAGGCAGGCTGTCAACTTTTGTGTCCAGGGTGTGTTACACCACAAGTCTTGTCAAATTAAAAACTACATTCCTGCTAGGCAACAGAAAGCTTAAAGTTTTTCACATAGAATTATGTTAGTCAAGTTTGGGCTAGCTTTAATCTGTTTGTGTGGGTGCGTGGAAGGGGATTAAGGTAACATTTATAATAAAAAATATAGATATTTTGTAAAGAAAATAAAAATTCATTAAAATTTCTGTTTATTCCAATATATACTGAAATGAGCAATATGTCATATAGGTTCTGCTGCGGACATATGCAAGCTGGCCATGATAGCAGTAGAGAACAAGCTTCAAGCAAAGGAGCATTTAAATACAAGGTGGGGCACAGCTCATAAAACATATCAATTAAATCACTGTCAAACACTATACATAACATATGCTAAATGGCTTTCACCATTGCTAGGTTACTGCTACAAATTCATGATGAACTTGTGTGGGAGGTGCCTGATGAGCATATAACAGAAGCCAAAGGTATTTTCAAGTTATTGTTTCGAGTGTTCTTTTTATTTAATTTATGGAATAGTTTTAAGAACAAGATGCTAAATTTATCCTCAGAGGTTATTCAACAAACAATGGAGGATACACAAAGTCTTTGCGCACAATATTGCAATCTCCAGGTTCCTCTTTCAGTGACCATCACTAGAGGGAAGTCTTGGGCTCATCTGGAACCATTTGAATGAGGTCAGTTTTCTGAAGGGATGACCATAATTGATGCAATGTACTGCTGGGTGGTCACTGCTTGTGAGATGGGTACATTTATATGGGGGGGGGGGGGGGTAAATAAACTTGTTGAAACTTGTAAGATAATTACTTAAAACCAAGCAATCTTTTTGGAACATTTTAAAAATCTTTTTATCATACAACTCAGTTAAAGAGATTCTGGTAAAATACAATCCTTTGTTACACCTCTTTCAGATAGCCAGTGCCACGTTTTGTTCAAATAGAGTATAGAGATGATATAACTCAAAACATGCTGTTCCAATTATACCCATGTTTGGCACCTATACAAGTTTGTGAGTTTTTATTTTTTACATCATACTATTTCAGTGGCAAACTCTAAGTCATCTGGTGGGTGAAGAAGGGTGTCTGACTTGAAGTTGCCAAAATTGTGTTATGTTATTTACAGATGACAACTAATGTTTATACATGTTTAACTTAAATTATTTCAGTTGTCATGTATTTTGTTTAGCTTACATTTAGCAATTGCAGATATATTTACAGGTAATAGAATACTAAGAATATATTGGGTAAACATTTAAAAATGAAGTCATTACAAAAAATTATTTTGGAATGGATATATAATCAATACAACTTTAACAAAAATGTCTTATATTAAAGATTACTTAAGTGAAATTATGACTACTTCATAATGCCATAACAATACACCGGCTAGATTGTAATTTATTTTGCCATTTATGTGTACATTGTTATTAACTTTATAATTGTTGATACACTTGCTATCTATTGTTAGTGGAGGTTTTGGAAATGTATTGGCCATCTTATATATAAATATTTAGTTGACTAAAACTTGAGGTTGAAACATTTATGAATAACTTTTGAAAAATATTTGAAGTTGTTTCAAACTTAGGTATTTTAAATGTTTGTTTTTGCGAATAATTTAAGTGATACAATTGTTTTTATTTATGAATAATAATTTTCCCATATAAATATAGTCTTATGTGTATTTGTTGGTTAATGTTATAAATATAATAATTTATATTGATACTCATTAAGTAAATACAGATCAGTAGCTTCACAGAATTATAATGCAAAGAAACAAAGAACATTTAAACCAGCAAAACAGTGATGCATAACTGAAACAGGGAACATCTTACTAAATGTTAAAATGTAAGGGCTTAATTTTTCCATGTACAATAAAGCAATTTAGAATTTTGACAGCTGTATTCTATATGAAAAATAGACAAAACTTTTTTACATGAGCTTAACAGAGATATATTCTTTTACAAAATAAAAGCAATTATTTAATATCACACTAGATTTCAAACATGATTTCTTAAAAACAAAGACATACTATTTATTATATTATGTTTGGAAATATGTTCATGTATGGCAAAATACCTATATACAGAATGTGTAAAAAAATAACTTCAATCAACATATCACCTGTCTAAATTTAGTATCACAATATCACAAACAAAACATTATGCATCAATTTGTAGGTCTGCATTCAAAACATGAGTATCTACAAAAAGAAACTTTATAATCGTATGCTTCCATTTTTTAAATAAACTTTTTTTTATTGTTGGGCTGCCTTGCTGGCCTCAGATAATACTGAAATCAGATGAAAATGAAGTTTGTTTTAATGTAAATGTAATAATATTTCCAACTTAGATTGTCTATCAAATGCTGTTTTAGAAAAATTCTATTTTAAAAAACTGTGCCTATTTAGTCACAAAAAAATTAAAATGCCAAGTAAAATAAAAAATTTAAGTTCATATATTTCTCTAGACACTCTCCCAATATCTGCTGTCACACAATCAATTTGACACAATGAGAAATGTTAAAAAAAATTGTGCTTAGTTAAAATTAAAAATACTGAGTTCCCCTGCAATAAAATATCTATCCATGAGAAAATAGAATACAATTTTAAGATATTTTAAATGCATATTAAAGATATGTACATATAAAAATAAGCTTTATGTTTGATGTGTTGTCAAAGACAACAGTAATGTATATTTACTTGAATCAGCAACAATCAGCAGGAAAGTAACTGAGGTACATGGTGAATACACTGAACATTAAATTCAGTTTTGCAAACATAGTAATGATAAAAGAGATACATTTTAGCAAATATACAACAAAATCAGCTTGAAAAAAGCACCAGGTAATTGTATCTTTGGTCGCCACCATAGTTTTATACAAGTTGGCAGTAAATAGCAAAATGGCATTTTGTAACTAAATTCTGCATGAAACTGAAACTCTAGTTGTTTTTTTTTATTTGGGTGAATAAGTAGTTTTATGCATTCCAGTTAATATGTTAAACCTGTCTGATAGTACCCACAGGCTAAAGCAGTAATCAAGTAGAGCATAAAAACAAGTAATTAATTTACTGCTCTTTATTTAATCGGTTAAAGTACTATTTCCAATACACAGTTTCATTATTTAACAAGCATTGAGTTATCTTTCTCTGAGAATATTAATGCTTGTGGTTATCAAAGAAAGCAATAAAAAAATTAAACACAAGTTTCAGGAGTAAAGCCAACACGTACATTTTTCACTCGCCTGACCAGCATGCCTAAGTCAGAAAAGCAAGGCACACTGTTGGAGTTGTGGGTAGGCATTAGCCTGGTGACTGGAGAAGCCCTTTTGTCCAGTGTGGTGGTCATCCTGTGCAGGGTAAGGTGAGATGTTTCATAGCCTCCGCGTGGGGAGGATCTCAGGACAACACTGATCTCTGCTGGCGAGGAAGAATTGGACTGGTCCTCTGCTTCAACTGAAGCATCTGTATGACCATTTGGAGATGGCATCATATGATTTATATACTTACTGTGAGAAGTCCAGAGGAAGGCATGCGAGAAAGATATTTGTGGTTAATAACTCCATATGTTTGAGTGCTTGTAAAATATTTGAAGCTATCCATTATATTTCAATACTAATTTAATGCTCTACCAAAAGTGTTAAGTGTAAACAAGCTAAGCAGCCTCCTTGTTCAGTTGTTAGCCATTAAATTGTGTTTGTATTTTAATAGCTTTCAACCACCTATTAACTTTTGTTCTTAGATCTGACAAACTTATATGCATCAAAGGCTATCACTGTTTCATAAATTAATAAGTTTTATAAGAGTAAATCAAGTTTCAAATCAATTTTAAGAAGTAATTTATAACATAATTTATACATTTAAAACAGATGCAAATGAGTATATTTTAAAAATCAATATCTCATGCATAAATTTCATAAACCAAATATAAGGCTGAAATCAATGATAAGATTCAGTACTAAATGCTAATCTGTATGCACCAGAAAGACTGGAAACAAAATACTTGTTACACTAAACATGCTCAGTACATGACATTTATTTTAATGTTTCTAATGTACATCTATTTTGTTTTTTAGGCTACTTTATATTAGGCCTTGGAATTGTCTTTTTTTATTTAGCTGGGATGATTTAAATGTGCAAAGTTGATTTACTGCACATTTAACTTTTAAGTAAAGCCTTTGTATTAACTTTGTGAAGCAGGAGTTCAGTTCATTATTGTAAGTTAACTGTAGTTGTAATTATAACCATTCCTTACCCAAATAATTAATTGACATATGAAAAAATTTATCTTTAAATTTTAAAAAGGACAATCAAGTTGGGTTTGATTCTGGTATTTTAGGAATAAGTAGACTTTCATTATTTTTTTCCTTGTAATGTAAACAACATTGCTAATTTAAAAAAAAACAAATAATTAAAACAATAAAAAGCAAGGCTTTTAAAAAAATAGATGTTTAAACCATTCTATTTCAACATATTTATTTCCAAATTATCTCATAATTAGCTCAGCTATTTAAATATATGTGGCAGTATAAAAAGAAATGGGACTATTCTGTTTTTTGTTTTATTCATACTGGAATCAGCCATCTTGAAACATTCATGTAAGAAAACTATCATGCAAGAACAAAATTAAAACATTAGCTTTTACACACTTTGATATAAACAATGAGATTCTGTTTACAATATGTAATGAGCTAAAGTAAATTTACAACAATGAGAAAAGTTTATAAACATTCCATAAGAAATTAGACAAAAAATTTGGCACAATAAATGACAATGAAGCAAAATAAGAGGTTGATGCCTATGGCACCATTAAAACCTAACAACACAGAAGTAACTATTAATCTAATTTTCACAGGGATTGGGATTGTGATGCTTAATAAATAGTTGTTAAATATGTGATTCTCCAACCATTGGTGTTTAAGTTTAAAGTAAATGAGAAAATATTTTAATTAATTTTAATGTAGTGGAACTATGCCAGTGACATCCCAATCTTAACAAACTGTATAGTTTTGATGTACATTAGGCTGAATAGTAAAAACAATAAGTGATAGATCTGATAAATGTATGAACTGGAAGAGAGGAATTAGATCACTAACAATACCAACATGCAACAAATGATACTGGTTGATTCATACACATATTGACATTGGTTGTTAACATTTATAAAAAAATAAATCTAAACTTCTAATAAATATTAGAATGCACCCCTCTGCAAGCTGTGTGACTTTGATAGCTGACAGAAGTTGCAAACTATGGTTTTAATGAAACAATTTTAAAAATTTGGCCTTAAAAGGTTTTGTTACTCTACTCAGCCTTGGTATTTACATCTGGTTTTAATTGCTAAATGTGGGGGAAACTATGAAGGAAGATGATTTTAATGTTTATAAATTTAAAAGAATACAACAACAAAATAATGGAATGGAATTGTATTACAATGGCTTTGATTTATGTCAATGTCAGGTTTTCAGCAGGGGCTAGTTTTTATAAAAATATTTAGTCAAAGCCATTGTGATTTTCACTTTTTTAAACACCATATAAAAACAAATGAGACAATATGCTCAAGTTCTATAGTAAACAGATCTGTACAGTTCTTACTTATCAGGCACGCCATAAAGCTGGTGTTCTCTGATGTAGTCAATTACTGAATCCTGCAGCAAATATTTGACACTCTCCCCTCGTTTGAGTGCTCTCCTGTCATCAGAAGAAATAGGCTAAATTAGCAGCTTCACACATTTATTTAAGACATGACTTTCAAAATAATTAAATCATTTGCTGTAAGATACAACTACTTCACTACACAAGAAAGAATAAAATAATGACAAAGTTATATTAATTTATTATTTAATGCATGTATATATTACCTAATTTTTGTAGAGCTTATATCATTGGTAATCCATTCTGTGACTATAAAAATATTTTCCTGTAAAAGAAAATTAAAATCAAAACTAGACACCTAAATAAAAATATAAGGGCTGTTTGGTTAAAAAAGAAAAGCTTTATAAAAAGAAAAAACCTCAAAATGTATTTTTAAAAATATAGCATATTTGATTAAAACACAACTTTAAAACACAACTTTTTATGATTTTATTTGCAATCTCAAATTCAAGAATTCATCATGAAACATATACAGGAAAATTAATGGCCGCCAAATTTTATTTAAAAAAAATACTTGAAAAAAATATCAATTCTTCTAAATCCAGTTCTTAGTTCTTTGTAGCATAATGAAAGTAATCTGAACAACCCTGTGTAGTACACACTACACAAACAGGCACATTTTTTTTCTTTACTCTTTTGTACCTGTGGCCAGTAGGGCAGATAAAGTAGAGTTCACCTGTTTCTATGATCATGGCATATGAAGGGATAATATGGTCAGTTCTATCCCTGTTTGATATGAGTGAAGTAAACATTGAAACATGGTCAACACATTCTACAGATTTCAGTCTGGTATCCAAATTGAAGACTTTTTGGAAAGAAGTCATGCAGTCTACCCCCAAGCCCTAATGTCCTTTATTTTTTCTTTAATCCAATCTAAATATCTACTTACTTTAAACTTAGTCAGAATATCTGATTCATAAATAAACTTCTGTGGGTCAGATCCTGATCTTGTGATGACAACTAAACCGTGTGTACCAACAATGTATTCAATCTAATCAAGCAATAATTTTTAAAAAAAAAGAATTAACATAATATTCTCGACAGTGTCAGTTCATTCTCCTACCAACTGACTGGATCAAAATAGCAATAATAATAATACAGGAAGGGTAAAAATAGTTTATTGTTACTCACATCCTCCTCCTCCCACAAACCTGGAACAGCAAAAGATTCTAGAAGATCCCCTCCACACAATAACTTGACACAAGGGACTTGATCTGATTCACCATCTATATTTGGGATCTGGTTCTGTGTTATGTCTGACACTGGAACAGAACATTCAAAATATTCCTTTTTAAAAAAATTATACATACATATATACATGCAAAGATATATATATATATGTATATATATATATATTGTTACGTACCCCCTTCTCTAATCCTTTCGAACTAGTCAGGGGATCGTAAACAAGAAGAAGAAAAATAAAAATAAATAAATGCCAACTTCAGTAATCTCTATTTATTCGCCACAAAATACAACATCTAACATTAACCCGCCACCACATGGAACACAATAGGAAAAATACACAACTATCTACAACAACTAAAGTACTTAGTACGACTACCCTACTTGTCCCTAACCGTCTAGCCTAGCCTAAGTCTAAAACATGTCGTGGCTTTCCACTAGCTCACAGAGACGACCCATGTCTGTCTCCTCTAGACCTAGCTATCCGAGACCAGTCCGTCTCCGTGAGTGTCCCGAGTGTCGAGTGTGTCCCAAGAGTGTCCCTAGTCTCCTGTCTACCCTCCTAATATTCTCGAGTCGTCCCTGACCAGTGTGGGAACCTTGTTAATCGAGCCTGACCCCCATGTCAGGTCAGGACATGACCGTCCCCTGGGTTCCGTCCGTCCAGAAAAGCTTTCCCAGCCATAAATCACGGCCTGTTGGTGGTTACCAGCCGAGTCCCCAAGACACCAAGTCTGCCACGCCCACAGCGTGTAATCTAATCCGTGGTGTGGCCATCAAGACCCCCAGACTCTCACGGCCTATGCTGGCCAGTGCATTAAAATGCCTAAGCATTTCATTTTAATTACCTGGCCCTCCTCGATGGGACAAAACCCAGGTAAAGATCACTTGGGATCGTAACAATATATATATATATATATATATATATATATATATATATATATATATATATATATATATATATATATATATATATATATATATATATAAATCAATAATGACAAGTGTATGCTTTGGTTGAAATGTAATTACTTTTTAATATAGGACATATATATTTTTTACAAAATAAATGTTGAGAAGCTAATGAAAATCTCAGCAAAAAAATCAATATCGTAATCCAACGCCCAATAAGCAGAATGCTCAGGATTACAAGACACATGCACAGGAGCAAGAATCCATGCCATAAAGTTGCTGGCTTCTATTCCCCTTCCAGACATCAAAGATCATATTTCTAATTATGATATTACTACAGAAATCCTAGCAGAAAACATCAATCAGTCTGATATTTAAAGAAACCCAATATGAGTGAAGCCTTTATTTAACATTAATCAACATCATCAAATAAAAAACTTTCAAAAAAAATAATTTAATAAAAATGTTAATTGAAATCAGCTCATTAGGTAGAAATATCTCATTAATGTGTATTATTAATGTATGTATTATTTTTATCCACAAAGAAATGTATCATATTTTAGAGTCCTATTAAGGCTAAGGGCATGGACAGGTGATGAAAAATAAAATAACCAAATTGCTTATTTCTAAACCTAATGCTCTAATATTTAGCATATAGTTATGACTCAAAGAGGTAAGTCTAAAAATAACAAAATGGCCAAAACTTTCATGGAGACCATCTTGGATTTTTTTTTAATAATTTTAACATTGAAATATAAATATTTGTCTTAGGCAGACAGTTATCTAATCATATTTGTTCCATTTATTAAATAAATTTAAAAAAAATTATATTCTCATGTGACAGTGTACAGACAGAGGTTATAAAATATCAAACCAAACATTTTTTGTTAACTTAAGAGGCTGCGTAGACAATTTATTTTACCTGAACTGTGAGGCTGTTTTCTCCTTTTTTTAGATGGAGAAGGTTTGTGCCCAAACTGGATTTCAACTTGTTCTTTAAAATGTTTCAACACTTTAGCAGTTTGAGACCACGCACTAAGCTGACATTCCCATGTGTCTAATCTGTGTAAGGAAACGGAACATCAATTTCAACTAATATAAGAAAACAGAACATCAACTTAAACAAATATAAGAAAACAGAACAACATAAATTAATATAAGAAAACAGAACATCAACATACACAAATATAAGAAAACAGAACAACAACATTAACAAATATAAAAAAAAAACAGACCGTTAATATGGGCCTCTAGAAGATTAAACAAATATAACAAAACAGAACATTAACATTTTTTTTTCCAATTGAATATCCTACACATAGACAGATAATATACATATTTTTTCTACACCTAAATCTAATCCTCTCAACTCTTCTATTATAAATGTCAACAGTATACAATTTTTATTACTTGAAGTGCAGTATTAATGTTTGTATTCATATTTACTGACAGGCAATCTATATTTTTTGAAAAAAAGTATCACTAGCAAATAAAATGTATGTTTAACAGCCAGATGACAATATGGATGGAACAGCTCAGTGAGAAAATGGATGGAACAGCCAGATGACAACATTAAAAAAAAAATCTGTTTGAATCTGGAATTGAGTCATTATTTCACATTTTTAAAAGTAAAAGACTATATGTAAGGATGTGGATGGGTGGGGTCGGGGTGGTGGTGGTGGTGGGGGATTTAGGGAGGGGGTTAGGTATAAGTCAGCGAAAGAAAATGTAAAGTCGATAATGAATGCCCCTAAGCAACACACCACAGGCTGGTGATTGTAGTGTAGTCAGCCATCTTGAAAAGTCGGGCTTGTTGATTCTATTAGCTGTACATTAGCCGTGGTGATGGAGCTAATGGGTGCTTTAATTGTTGCTCCCATTGTCAGGCTGCTTGTTCTGTCAGATAACAACTTGTGTCTCAACACTGGCTCACTCACCACCACCGTGTCTCAGTCACCACCAACAACTGTCTCAGTCACCACCAACAACTGTGTCTCAGTCACCACCTTGTGTCTCAGTCACCACCAACAACTGTGTCTCAGTCACCAGCAACAACTATGTCTCAGTCACCACCACCAACTGTGTCTCAGTCACCACCACCAACTGTGTCAGTCACCACGACTGTAAGCAGAAAAACATCAACTGAGATTTGTACCAGTAGCCTACTGAATAAAAGCACACGATCTAGACTAGGTAACCTCACTGGTTAAGCAACCAACTCCAGAGTTAACCCCCCCCCCCCCTGTCTTTATGTACCTTAAAACCTGTATGCTAATGCGGGCTTATACAGTTTCATTGACTAGCATCAGCCGTTGGATCAAGTCAACAATCGCTCACGTGATGTATGTGTTGTGGCATCCGGTGAGTAACAAAGACATGACGACACAACAAAGTTTATGTCGAGTCGAGGACATAGACCATGCACGCAAGGGAAGGGGGTGTCGGCGGTTTAAACTGAACATTTAAGATATTCTTTTCTTTAAATTTTTAATCTCGCAGCTTCTTGAGTTAGGTGGCAGGGTAAAAAAAAATCGATATGTCCGTGAAAAAATAAATCAGGCGCTCGTTCATTTAGTGGCGTTAAATAAAATATGGTGCGCTTTGTGTAAGGTGGAGGGGAAAAAATCGTTGGGCCGCGGACGTGACAAAACAAGAGGAAGAGAATTTTTCCCTGGGCAGCGCATGGGGCAGGCCGGCTTATCCCTTCAGTAGTGTCGGTCAAACAGAGCTTGGGTTGTGTAGTCATGGCTGCTTCATATGTTATGACAAGTCACTGCTACAATTGTGTTGTCATAGCTGCTTCAACAGTCGCCAACAAAACAAAAGATTACGTTGTGTAGTCATAGCTGCTCTATATATCGCTAACCAAGTCCGTGCTCAAGTTGTGTAGTCATACTTGCTCTACGTCCGGTCATCAGGTCAGAAAATAAAATCACCATAAGATAAACCCGTCTTGGGTCTGTAGAGTAAACCAGCCGATGGCCCTATGCCAGCGTTTAATCCTGTTATTTACAGTACAAGATGTGCTCGGCTCTTAACGTCACTACCATTTACTTTTATGGTGGACGTTGTTTAACAGTTTTTCCCCGTTCGTATTGCTTGCATGACAAGTCTAGGCGCTTGAAACTAAGCCTGCCTCTAATACCGACTAAACCCTGACCTGTAGATATGTTCATCAAAAATTACTTATTAACACGAGAAACCCGAAACACGCTATATACGTATTTACAGATAGACTACATAGGAAACTCATTTCTAGCTCAAGCAGAAGAAAAACGCAATACACAATTTGACTCAAATAAACTAGATCAGGTAGGTATTTTCTGCTATAACATAACATTTAAGAACCTTTGATCCCATAACCTATGAATACGTACATAAAAGAAGCCCCAGATATTTTGATGGCTCCCCTACAGGTACTGCTGCCAGCTCCCCTCCCTAACCCACCTCACCCACACCAACAAGCCGGCACAAGCTAATATACTGAGTAGTTCTCTCAATCATTCTGGCCACCTCCTATCAGAAGGTTAAATATAGCCATAAGGTTAAATATAGCCATTTCCATGCCATTTCCGGCGGTAAACATTTCCATCTGGAACTGGTGCTGTAGAATACAGGTCTGCTGTGTACCGTGGCATCTCTCTGGTCGTCGTACTGCGGTCTAACAGTTTCACAAGGTTCACTATCTATCTATCTATCTATATATATAATTCTCCTCTTCGAGCCGTTAGAAAACAAGCTGCAAACGCTCTCCCTACCTCCCCACCCCTACATGGTTTTAGTGAGCTGTGTTCACTCTAAATGTTTACAAGCAGAGCCAACGATTTTAAACGTAGGGGGGGGGGGGAGGGGGGGGGGGAAGGAAGGGGGGGGGTTATGGTCCTTAACGAGCTACTTATAGTGTTTTAAAGAAATATTTTCAGTGTCAGCGTTGGTACTGTCGAATTCACAAATTATGAATTATTGAAAATTAGAAACAACTAAATAGCGGCGTATGTTATGCCGCGGGCCGGCTCGTACACTATACACCTGTTCCTGTACCGTATTTCATACGCGCCTATCTATACCATAAGATCAGTTTCTTGTAGCATTTATTCTAATAGTCTTGTTAACTTTTTAATTTAAAGAAATCATCTTGATCTCTTCAGAACAGATTAACATCTAAGTTGTTCACATGATGATACTCATCTATTTTTATAACCTTCTCGAATAATTGATTTTCATTTATGAACAACAGGGTCTATCACACAAAACAAATACAAAACGTACAAAACAGTGATTTGGGATTGATAGTTTAGGACTCAACGGTTGCTAAGTGGCAAATTTTTCCTATAGAATGTAGGTGGGATTCAAACAAATGGCTTGATCTGTCCACACTACATTAATGCTCTAATGATGGCCCGTGTTTTATGGAGCCGGGATTGATAGATGCCTGTAATCTATCGTAATTGTAAAGTAGACATAATGATCAGTCGTCATTAATAAAGTGTTTGTTAAATGGATGGCCTAGGGAGCGATACGTTTACATACAGATCCATTAGGCTTTTAATTTGAAGACCGAACTTCAAACAACTCGTTTGGGTCTAGTTTTTCTGTGTCGAATTCTTTTGATCCAGCGTGGACGTACTCCTAACAATCCAATGATTGGGATCAAGCATATACTAGTCTAATGATTGGGATCAAACATAGACTAGTCCAATTATTGGGATCAAGCATAGACTAGTCCAATGATTGTGATCAAGCATAGACTAGTCCAATGATTGTGATCAAGCATAGACTAGTCCAATGATTGGGTTCAAGCATAGACCAGTACAATGATTGGAATCAAGCATAGACTAGTCCAATGATTGGGTTCAAGCATAGACTAGTCCAATGATTGGGATCAAACATAGACTAGTCCAATGATTGTGATCAAGCATAGACTAGTCAAATGATTGTGATCAAGCATAGACTAGTCCAATGATTGTGATCAAGCATAGACTAGTCCAATGATTGGGATCAAGCATATACTAGTTCAATGATTGTGATCAAGCATAGACTAGTCCAATGATTGGGATCAAACATAGACTAGTGCAGTCCAATGATTGGGATCAAGCATAGACTAGTCCAATGATTGTGATCAAACATAGACTAGTCCAATGATTGGGATCAAACATAGACTAGTACAGTCCAATGATTGGGATCAAGCATAGACTAGTCCAATGATTGGGATCTGGCATAGACTAGTCCAATGATTGGGATCAAGCATAGACTAGTGTCAGTACAGTCCAATGATTGGGATCAAGCATAGACTAGAATCAACACTGACATCTCATTAAAGCTTCGCTAATACAGACCAGGCATTAGCTTGGGACGAGCTGAATCAATGAGTGCGGGCCCGCGATGTTTAAATCTGCTACAGACACGATCTAAACGAGCCACGGCTGCGTGCATTCATCTATTTCACTGGTCAATTGAGGACCAGTCCAACCGTGAACGGAGCATCCTAAAGTAGAGACAGACGGGATGTCAACAAGTGCAGGGAATCTAATGGGATCAATTCTTTAAGACGAGTAGTTCAAGCTAATGGCAGACCCCAGCACTTTAATCCCACCATTTCTCTTCGACAAACATAACTAGGTTCCACCTTCCCCCCCCCCCACACTTACACAACCTGAGCGTCCAGCTACAACTGTCAGTAGTAGCTGCCGCCCGAGGGGTGGGGCAGAGAGGAGATAGCGCTGAATGTTGCCAGGATGAACGAATGGCTAAATTATTTTTTTTAACCATCAAAATGTCAGCCGTATTCCGACATCTAAATATAGTTTCTACACGAATGGAAACAGCCGGTGGCGATGGCTGATTCGGCCAGTAATAAGCACATTCGAACTGTGCCAACACAAAGTTGATGGTACACCAGCGGGGTTAGGTGAAATACGGACATTTTAAGTCACTTGAGTCATCCACTTTATAACTTTATATATACACGACTGTGTATGTGCAATTTATTTATGTTTCACTTCGGGCTAGAGGCTGCCATTAACATTAAGAGTAAGGGAATTTTCAGCCGATTTGTTTTCAAG